TAATTTGATAGCCTAATGAAATTGATAGGTTCATAGACGTGTTTCAGCATATTAATATGCATATTTTTGATGAGATATCAAGTTGGCAATTTTCAATTGGAATTTGGATGCTCTAAATATGCATATTAATATGCATACTTTTGGTGTTCATTTGAGTGTTTTTTCAAATAAGTTTGATAAGTTTTGTTATAGCTCGAATGTTATAGTTTGGGTATTTTAAATGTTAAATTAGTTTGAATGTTATTGCTCCATTGGTATATAAAGGTTGGTTAATTTCCAACTTTTCTATGGAATGATGAGTCGATTTTTTTGATAAACATGTGTTTCCATTGCCATTAGGTTCAATTTGACGCAAATTGAAGGAAATGTTTGCTATGGTTAAACTCAAGCGGTGATCACGATCACTCGACACTCTCATGTCGTGAGGTAATTTTTTATTTATTTTTAGAATAGCTAGGTTATTTATTTTTAGTGTCATACCACTTTGAATGTGATTTGTTTTGTTTGAAATCTATAAAAGTTTACGGGTTTTAGAAACTTTCTCAATTAACTATTGATTATGTCCTTAAGTTTTATTGTAACTTTTTGTTTTGTGTGGCTTTGAGTTGATGTTGAAAGAACCCATATCACAAAAGGAATCCTCTTAGCTTTGTTTTCCCAATTTTTCCGTTACAAATTAGTTCTATTTTTGTGCTTCCATTTGTTCTATTGGGTTTAGACAATTGCTTACATGCTTCCATTTTCTCGCATATGCTTTATTGGGTTTGCAATTCATATTTTCTTGCATACGCTTATACGCTTCCATTTTTCCTTTTCTTTTTGTTCGGTTTAGTGTCCTACGAATATGACTAATTCATTTTCTTTCCGTCTTCAGGTTGATTTAGTCACACAAAGTTGCTGTTTTGACAGCTTGACCAATGCATGGCTGGACTGTAATTCTTTTTCATAACCAAGGAATCTTATATTGTTAATTTTTGGAGATGACTTTGTTGAAATTATTTGAAAAATAGTAAACCCATATTAATTTAAACTTATCTGCAATTCAACCAATACTTGAATGGGTTAACCAATAGCTAGGTAAATTGTTATGTTGTTAAATTGTTGTTTTAAGGATGGACTACGACATGAATGGTTAATATTATGGTGTTGATTTGGGTATGACTATGAGATATATAATCTTTGTATACAGGTTAAGATTTTTCTAGATTATTATTTTTAGAGAAAATTATGACGATTTTTTTAAAAAAAATAGTGAAGAATAGATTGATTTCAATTTCTTTAATTGAAGCAAATGAAAGAAAAATTGTTTCAAAGTGACGGTGTTTTTTTAGTTATAAAGTGTCTTTAGGCACATGTTATTACTAGTATATCTATATTTAACGGGTATATCGGGAACAGGGCGAGAAGGGCTATTACGATTTGTTACTTGAATGAATTCAAACTTAAAGAAACTAACGGGCTGTTACGATTTGTTACAGTCCTATGATAAAATAGATTTCACTCTTTTAATAACTAACTCTCTAGATAGGATAATAACAATCACAAATTAAAAATAAATAAAATTCACTTATCTATTTATTTATTTATTATTGAATTATTACATCAATGTATAAATGTTACGATTTGTTACAATCCTATAATATATTTTTATTCATTTGTTTGTTTATTATTAAACGATTACACCATATTTTGTCACGTGGTATCATCGTTGTAATTAATATTTTCTCTACAGTTTACTACAATGTAATTTTTACACCAAATATTTAGAGTAAACTATACAATGACCTTCAAACTAAAACATTTGTATCAATTAAATATCTAAACATTTTTTATGTCAATTAAGTCCCTGAATTCTCTAATTTTATCAATTGAGCTTTTTATGGGTTTAAGGGTTCAATTGACATAAATAAATTAATGTCTTAATTGGCAGAGGAGTTATAATTTGAAGGTCAATTGTATAGTTTACTCAAGTCATTTGTGTTGCGTGAGTGACACATTTCGCCATATTTCATTAAAAAATCTAGCAGAGCCAGACAGAAGGAGTTAATTGACACAATTAGATAAAATTTTGGAGTAGTTTTGATCGTTTGATCAACAATCTTAAAACAATTTGAACCGCGAAAAATTCAAAACAAACAATGCTAACTCCTTTAGTATATGGATATATCACAAATTATATATATATATATATATATATATATATATATATATATATTATTCGCTTATTATACCATTCAAATAGTATAGTTTTTTTATTTCACTACAAAAAATTACATGTATTATAGTCAATCAACTCATTTTGATGAAAAAAATTTGTATTTAAGGTTCATTTATTTATTTGAAAATTTTAAAAATAATCCTTAATTATATAGAATCATAATTAACGATCAAATTAATATGTAATATGAGACAGAGAGAGACTTATAAGATAGATAAGAGTATTAGAATTATAGAAGGAATGAAAGTCTTGTTCAAAAAATTAGGAGAGAAAATTTTATTTTAGTACTGTCGGATTAATAATCGTCAAATAATTTAAACGACGAAAAATTAAAGACAAAGAAATTTATTTATTTTATTATATAGATATGTGTGTGGAGAGAGAGAGAGAGATTGTCTGGTGAGAGACAGAGAAAAAGCTCCTGGACTCTGTTTGTGCGTGAGTGTCTGACAGAGAGAGAGAGAGAGAGAGAGAGAGGAGGGGGCACGTACTTGTAGGCGGAGAAGGTGAGAAAGAGATGCAAAAATAGGTTGGCTTTAACCCTAATTTGGTACTGTTTTAAGGGTAATTGGGTAAAATTACCTTTACCATGTTATATGAAAAATTGGACCAGCCAAATCCCACTTGCTCCGTGGGTTTCAAAAATCCAGTGCATATGGGATTTGGGCATGCTTTCGCTACGGCCCGATTTTTTCTTTACCAACGATTATCCCAAGGCCTGTTGTGGATCCAAAGTTGGGATATGTGGGGCCTCTAGACAAAATAAACCCAATCCACTTGTATTATCTAACTTTATCCTTTAAACCAAACATCCCTTTTTGGATCGGTGACTTATCCTAACAAAATTAAATATTTTCCACATATACATAATAACATATATACATTAAAATATTAATATATATATATATATATTTTTTTTTAGTAGCAAAGTGAATAACTGATATAGGGGTAGACTATGTATATTAGAAGTGATATAGAGTTAAATTGTAAAGAAGGAGCATTATAGTAATTAGGCAATATATCTCATTGGTTGAGTTTGTAACCACAGGGGAGGTGGGTTAAATTTAGCCGATGTAAGAGGGTTAAAAAAATATTGTACCATTCAGCTCAAGGTTAGACCCAGAATTTCTATTCAACCTCTATTTTGACTTCTCAAATACGGGATATGTGAGACCCACTACTTATTAGTCTGTCCTTATGAGTGTTATCTCACTTTAACCCATTAGCCAAACGCATCCTAAAAGTTATGGATAGTTAAAAGATAGTTGATGGTGCAGTTAAGTGCCATTAAAAAAGAAGTTATTAGAAGAATACTTTTATATATGGTTGTTTGTGTACATTATGATAATACTTGATACTAAATTGTTAAGGCCCTATTTAAAATTTTTGCTCAAGGCTTCAATTTTTACTGGGACGGCACTGTACATGATTAATGCAGAAAAATGAAGGGTTTTATAGATATTTTATGGGTATACACCGAATTTCATATGAGAAACCATCCATTCATTTTTAATTATCTAGAACTCCAAATTTCATAATAAAAATGCCCGAAACAATTTTTTTTCCTCAAATTTCCCCATTGTAAAAGCACCTTTGATCTGCTTGAGTCCCAAAAATTTATGATTTTTTTTTTTATTTTGACAAATTGATTTGTCGGGTTGAGGAAAGTTTAAAGAAAGTTCAAGGATTTTGGTCCCTCAACTTCTCAATTTGTATCATTTTGATCCAATAAAAATGGCTGTTTGAATTAACTAATGGAGATGTTCAAGTGACCACACTTGAAGGTTGGGGTGTTCACCCTACCTTACGGGTAGGAAATATGATCTTTTATTTTTCTATCTTATATTTTACTGAAGATTTTTTGTTTGGCCCATCCTACCCAATCAAGTGTGGTATTCTTATCCGATTTTCGGCCAAATTAATCGAGTAGGAAGTCGGGTAAACACTTTTGTAGCTATTAATTTTTGGATCATTTTAACAATGCACTAATTTAACAATACAATAAACCAATAACACTAAAATCTAAAACAATTACAATAAAATACAAGAAAGCATAAATATCAATCCATCATAATTGTTGCATAAATATAATAACAATTATTTTAAGTTTAAACCATATGGTTAGGGAATTAGGGTTTTTAGTTATATATATATATTATTTATTAATGTGGGTAAGGTAAGATAGGAATACGAAAATTAATGACTATTCCGCATTCCTATTCGATTTAATCAGAAGACCAAAAACTCTTTTGCATTCCTACCTGATTTTTTCGACTAGCCGTTCAATAGGGTTGGATAGGATCAGGTAGAGTAGAAAATTACGACAAATTGAAAATTTAAACACCCCTTCTTGAAGGGTTACTTTGATTCCTCAAATTTGTAAGTTAAACCATTTTGGTCTTTCAAGTTTATAGTTTGTATCACTTTAGTCCCTAAAATTTTCAAAGAATGCTCGTCAAGTGTAATCAGGGGAGATGCACGTGATGATCTCCCTTAGTAATTCTAACTGCCCTTTTTGATTGGACTAAAGTGACATAAATTGAGAAGTTGAGAGACCAAATTGACAAAATTAAAAAATTGGATTTAGGGAGCAAAATTGTATTTTACCCGAAGTTCAAAATGTCAATAGCAATGGAAAAAAAAGGACTATTTATCAGCTTATGTCTTGTATGTGCACACAAATAAAAGGCCACTTGGTGTATTGTAAGGCCAAATACTAAATAAAAAAATATGACACAAGTTAGCTGGAACTTAAAACATTTATAATTGAAAATCATTGTAGTCATCGATGTAATGGCGATCTCCAATCAAGGTTCTTTTCGTGATCACAGGCCTTGCCCTCAAACTGTGTGATGATCGCGCTCGATTGTCTTGAGTGTGCAATCATCACGCCCTCCACCGTCCGACAGTCCTCGATTTTGGTCCCTATTGTGGTTTCCCAGTATGTAGGGTGGGAACCAGGTGATTCAATTCTGGTTATGTAAGAGTCCTCCAAATACACCAGCAATCCACTTCTTTGGCTAAAGCAACCAAACATAACATGTTTAATCATCTCTGCAGTGTTGTCACTCCTTTCGGCCAGGTACGCTTGATCAGCAGACAATTTTTACATGAAGCAATCTACGTCTGTGATTCGCTTTTCTCCCATGTACTGAGCTAATGAAAAAACAGCTGATAAAGCCAGTGGATCAAGACCTTGTATAAATGAGTTCTTATTAACATATACATGCTCAGCTTTCAGAACTTTCTTGATTTCATAGAGACGAGAATCTCATTCACTGAGACAGAATATAAAATGAAATTTTTCCTAAATTGATTGAATTAGGGGTATTTATTTCATGATCAATCATATAATTAGTTCAAACAATTATATTTTTATTTTTAAAAAACATAACTTAATTTCAAAAAATAATAATTTTTAATAAGATACAGAAAATTCAGTACGGTAAAATTACCCCATTGCTGGAGAAACTATGAGACAGAATACTAAAGTTGAGCACACTCGGTACACGTGAAGGACACACCAGTAGTCCACCGAGAAATGAGTGGATGATAGGGTGAAAACGTACGAGCACAGAAGCTGTAAGAGAAACAACAAACAAACAAACAAAACCCAAGTTGCACACCCCTGCCTGCCGGCCACTTTAACAGAGAATATTCCGATGTAGTAGTCCCATCTCTTTATTCTGACAACCATGATACTGCTTAGTTGCCTAGTATTCATAGGGGGCAGTAGTGGTCCCTTTATTTTGAGACCAATGTGACTGGGACCTAAAAATTTTAACTTAATTTGTTAATCTATGACTTTTGAATTAATTGTAAATTCTATCAAATATTAGAATTTGGTGTTGATTCAATGATTCTTATTAAGTCACATCATTATGTCAACAAATTAGATTAAATTTTTAGGTATAAATAACATTACTCTTATTTTGAGGATGTCAATCGAGTTTTACCGTATTATATGTAGAGATAACATTGGATCGAAAAAAAATTAATATTCATTTAATTTCATTTTATTTGGATTGAAAATAAATCGTGCGTATTTAATAGTGAATATATACAAAAATATCCGTATAAAATCATCTAACGACAACCAACATTTTTCATAATCGATAGTACCCTATAAGTTACAATTTACATTTTAAAAAAGTTATAATTTACCCTTAAAGTATTATAATTTTTGGCAATATCTTAACCTTTCCTTTTGGGAAAGTCTGGTCTTCCCACAGCATTAATTTTTTGCACCAATCAACCCAAAATGACATGGACTGATGAACATATAAGGCCTTTATAGGTAGAAGCTTTAAATAAAGTCACATCATTTTAATATAATCTACAGTATTTCACTTAAAATTTAATATATTTCTCGTAAAAAGGTTGATTTTTCTAAATACTCATGAATTTTTAACTCTGTTCCCAACACTTTGTCCTATTATTACCAAAAATAAAACAATAATATACATTTTATTTCATTTTCTAAATTTAGTTCATAAATTATTTTAAAGTCCTCGATTATAGTCCCAACAGAAAACATCACAAAGGAACCTCTCTATGTCCGTCTCAAAACTTGAACCAAACATGTTGTCAAAGTTTTAATCATTTGACAGAACAACGTAGACAGTGGCATTGAAAACCAAACCCTTCGGACAGGATAGCTTGCCGAGCATCACGGTCCATACTTGCATCAATATAGCATATCCGCATCTCTTCACCTGCAATATCAACCAAAGAAGCTAAACATTGCTGCTAAAAAACTCTTTTAACATGAAATTTCATAACTCAAACCACATTAGATTTGTCGATGGACCAGCGACTCCAGCCATATAAAGAAAGTCGAAGCCATTTCAGAAGTCGACCAATACTTAGTTTAGGTATTTGGCTCAGAAAGGAAGGGGAAGAGAGAATATCAGTTGTTTGGCTCTACAATTATCTCATATAGAAAGAGTTTGGGAATATAGAAAAGAAAAAATCAAGGTATTATCCTTTGCTCAAGGAAGGGGTCCATATAGCTATGCTAGCCCACCCTATTTTGCTTGTTCGAAGCAAGGACAGATACTACTAGTAAGACGTCCAGCAGAAATAACAGATTATAAACCAAAACATGCCAATTACATTTACAGTGGCTAATGTGCCACCATTGTTTCACTAGGCGCTTGACCCACCTCCTAGTCCTACCCAACCAGATAAAAGGCATTTAAAAATAGAAGCAAATAAAGGAATAGGTAGTTAACCTGCTTCAATGTCACGGAGAGCCTTCAATTTTGCATCCACATTTTCTATCCATAAAATGTGTGCATTGGGATCTGAAATTAAAAACCTCAAGTCAGATAAACAGGACTCCAGTTTTACGATCAAGCACTACCAGCCATATTGTGCATCCAAAAGCGGGATGACTTTCATTTGGAAAACTAACATTTTTGCACCAAAATTGTTCTTTATGTAGAACTAATAGGATATTAAATTGGTCATCGAAGATTGTAAGGCCAGTGCAATAACAAAATAAATTGCCCCTAGATGGTAAGTTCATATACAACATGCTTCCAAACATAATGGAAAACCTTCTGCACTCCAATGTAGTATTTCAAATATCATCCTAGCCAAACTTACATACAAATAGTGTCACAAAATTCTGAAGTTTAGACAGCAAAACTATTTAAGTTACTTAGGCCTATTCCCCATCATACCTTGTTCGTCAGATAGCAGTGTACCTAGAACCCGCTTACGTGCTGAGTATTGTTAGAATCTACGTTCAAGGTAGGTGACTATTTATTATTTCCCAACAATTTTTGGATTAAATGACACTAGAATCATGCGTATAGACCATGACAGTTTTCTCCATTTGTAACTAATCTATCAGACCTGGATGTAATAGAAAATGAAACCATTCTGTTTAGAACAAACTCTCTGCCTCTTATTTCTGTTCCATTGAACCTCTGTTGCTGGGATTGGGCTCTTAGTTCCAGAGCACTATGACAGCAGGAGGGCCAGTGACCCAACAAGTTCAGTACTTCAATAACTGATCTAATTTCCCCCTTTTTTTTTTGGTCCAAAAAATACACGTGACTTTCATAATGATGAAAGGACATTTACTTTAAATACTAAGTTATTCTCTACTAATATGTCACCTAAGACCCCAAAGAAGCATCCTCTACAACAAGCTGGTACCTAAACAAAGCAAAAATAAATAAAAAAAGCGACTTAGTGCATGACAGCACGAGGATTCCACCAGTGCATATATTTTTATGACTACGAGCAACATGCATTGAACTTGCAAAAGAAGGAGATATCTTACCACAATCATGATTGTAGAAGGATGGAAGCATATAGACAGCATTTCCAACAGCAGCTTCTGCTTCTACTGATGCTGCTGCTGATAAAAGAAGATCTTCATATAATCCACCAGCCAATTCAATCCGGAAGGCATTGATACGGATCCGGGCCAGTATGCCAGCGTACCAGTGCTTGGTTAGAACTAGAATGTCAAAGATAAATCTATCAATCTCACAGATGCAAGGCATCAATCACGTTAAATTAAAACTAGTTGTGGCAATAAATGTGGATGAATTTCGGCCATAGAGTGGATACATGCCATCTGCTCGTCTCCGATATCTGCAGCCTCAAAGGCATTTTTTAGCAAGCCATACTCCTCTTCCATCTGAAAAGTATCAGTATACATGAGAGACGAGGACAAAATAGAAATGCAAGAATGAATCAATGCACCATAAAGTTCAAATAGGTGTTTCTAAGTATTTTTCTGTTCCCATTTGTACATTTTATCAAGGTGGCTTTTAAATTGTGAAAGAAACAACAATTTGGCTACAGCTTCTTACATGATAGTTTCTACTGAGCTTTTAAAATGAACTCTCAGGTTAACTTTTGTGTAAGTTTTCAGGATCATGATCCACTTATGTAAGGTTCAAACATTTGATAAATGAGTCTCATGGAAGATACTTACCACCTACTTGCACAAATTTAAAAAAAGCACTTCAAAGATTTCTTTGAAAAAAATAACCAGTCAGTTCCAGCAAATGCAACCCCTCTCAGTGCAAAAGTTAAAATGGGCTATTATGAGTCATTGTTATTAAAATAATGTTAATATAACCATCTGAAAAGGTGTGCACTATTAACGATTCTTACCAGTATAATCATATCAGAAGATAAATTGGCAGGTTGAAGTATGTCAAGACAGTCTGCAGAAGCCACTCCTGATATAACCATGCAAGCCAATCGCTTGACGAGAAGTGGATATTTTAGACCTCTAGTTCTTCAAAAACAGATAATTAAAGAGATGCACAACTGAAAGTTTTCATTTGAATATAAACAGGAAATTGCAAATAAATATCAAAATCTAATTCTAAAAGCTGTCAACATCTAATGGTATTCATGAAGCAAAACTACAATGCCTCCATACAACATGCATACTAGCTGGTAAATATCATGGGATAGAAATACCTGTGACTATTTACATCCAATAGGCATTTGAGTATCACCTGAACTAAATTCCTTTAATTCTTAGCTATGAATGACATTTCAAAGGAATTAGTTTCGTTCTTAAAGAAGAATTTCCTTCACACCTTAGATTCAATAGGTGGTTTTTCAAAACTCTCGCCATTTTACTGCTTAGATTTCTGGCTCAACTCGAAAAACAACAAGGTAATTGTACAAGGTGGAAAGTTTCATCCAGGGTGTTTCGGGACATGGTTTTATGACAACTGAGGGATGATCATGCATAACTGATTCAAATTGTTACAATGGATCAATCAAACTTTTAAATTGTGACCTGCTTATATTTCCAAAGTTAATTTTTGACATTCCTGCTGATAAATGATGTTTCTTTGTGGGTAGGAGCCAGCA